ATATGGTGGGCTACAACAATGGTTAAAGAGCCTAACATAGCTAGGTTCAAAGGTCTCACCTCCTCTATCGTCCTTCAAGCTCCATCCGAACCCGCTGACGGCCCTTGGCCATTCCAGGATGCATCCACCTTGCAAAGTGGAAACCTCCGAGAAACGGTCGTAAAGGTCGGGATCATCGGAATGCTCGGCAACTCTGCTGATAAGTCTTCATCTTCTTCCGGTTGATTTGCTAAATTCCAACTCTCTGCTTCCACCTTCGTATGGATCAAAGTATCTACCGGGGAGATATCTTTCCCGTTGAAAACTTTGTCGTTTCTCGCTTTCTAAATATACCACATGATCCAGGGATAGATATCCTTTTGAGGATCTGTCATTCCTAACTCTTTTGTTTTCCAGAAGAGGAAACTCATATTTTGATAAACAGAGGTGCTCGGGATGAGGCCCAGAAGGGACGGGAAGTCCGATAACGCCCAGACTTGCAAAGCCGGGAGACATAAAAACAATAGATGGTTAAAAGATTCTTCAGGGTTCCACACAGGGACAACGCTTATTTGTGCCCAAATGTCTATAAGTTAGGTTCTGGCACGTAGCCACACATCCTGATAAGGACTGCCACATAAAATGTTTCATTTTTCCAGTTATCCGGATTTTCCACACGGAATTTAAAAGGGTTTTGATACTAGGTTCTGCCTCTTGTTAAATCTTTGATCTTTTAATCAGATCATATCCCAAATTCGACTGAATATATTCCTGATTTAGTATGATTCCATGCATATCCATCCAGAGTACAGATACTAGTAGGTCTCAATCCAAGGATCATAAGAACTTCCTCAGGTTGGAAAAATTCTTGAAGGAGGGCCACATCCTATTGCTTAGTGTCTTGGCGGATAAAAGAGTATACCAATAGTCCAGGGTCCCGATACCCGATCTAGGGGTTAGCTCTCGCGGGGCGTGCCCTAATATTGGGGATCCAGGGTTCACTCCAAACTCTGGTGTTGAGTCCTGACCCGATCGTCTTTCTTAGCCTTATTTTCAGGAACGGTTTTGCGGCCATCATACTCCACCATCCATAAAATGGTGAGTAGACTTGGCGGTCCTCTAGGGGATCCAATTGTCGGTAATATCTTCCTCTTAGGACCCGAGCTAGAAGGGATGAGGGGTACTGAATGAGTCTCCACAATTGTTTTGCTAAGAGGGCTAGATTAAAGTCATTAAGATCTCTAAATCCAAGTCCACCCAAGTCCTGAGGGATGCAAATCTTATTGCAAGCGATCTAGTGAATCCCACTGTTACTTTGTTTCGAACTCCACCAGAAATTGGCAATGGCGCTCCGAAGCTTAGACATTATACCTTGTAGAAGGAGGAAACAGGACATGACATAAGTCGGAACCGCTTGAGCCACTGATTTTATTTGGATTTCTTCTCCACCTTTGGAAAGAAGTCTAGCGGACCAATTATTAACCTTGCTGCTTAGACGATCATGGACAAAGGAGAAGACCTTCTTCTTGGATCCACATATTTGTTCTGGTAGCCCCAGATACATGCCCATACCCTCTTCAGTAGAAATACCGATAGTGCTTTTGATAGCACGCTTCAGGTCCAATTCAACTCTATTTCCAAACATGATTGAAAATTTGTCCAGGTTTAGTTGTTGACCCGATGGCATTCCATAAGTGTTGATAATATTGAAGATTTCCGCGCCCTGCTGGTGGGCTTTCATCCTAGAAATACGATCTTCCTCCTCTGCTCTCTTCAGAAGCGATATTAGGCTTTCTGTACAGAATAAAAAGGAAGGGGGAAAGAGGATCTCTTTGCCTCAATCCTCTCGATTGTCTAATATTGCCGGAAGGCGCACTATTAATAAGAACCTGGTAAGAGACCGAGGAGATACAGAACACCAATAGCTTGACCCATCTCAGAGAAAATTCTAACTTGAGTAGTAAAGCTTCAATAAATCACACCATTATATCCGGTCATATGTTTTGCTCATATCTGTTTTTATCGCCATAAAGTTTTCTCTGCATGTTGAATTTGTACGGAGTGCATGAAAATTGTTTTGTGCCAATAGAATGTTATCCGTAATGAGACATCTAGCCATGAAGGCCGATTGTGTTTCTGATATCAGATTTGGTAATGTCTTCTTAAGATGTTTGCACAAAAATTTTGAGATGATCTTGTAGCTTACATTACAGAGATTGATCAGACGGAATTCCGTCATCGCTCTACATTTATTTTTTTTAGAAAATGATATATATTAGTCTGATTAAGTGTAGGATAAAAAATTTCAATTCAACAAAAATTTTCATCAATTTTTTAATGTTTTGACGGATAAATAGCCAAAATTTTTGATAGAATTTACTAGTCATTCTACTATTGGAATCTGGCACTTTGTTCGGATTAATGTCGAAAAGAGTTTTTTTTTTTTTTTCTTCTCAAATGACATTTCCTCTCCATTTATTCTGCTTAACGCCAAAATGAATCAATTATCTATATTTGTTAGCAGATCTTAAATAGCCTATTGTAACTTCTCTTTACTGTGGGTGGATTTAGGGTGGTGAACCCTAGAAATCTTAATCTTTTTTTTTTTTTTTTTCAGATTTCGCAAATCAGCAAAAATGGCAACGAAGAAGAAGACAACCGAAATGGGTATGGATTCTTTCTCCCTCGTTGGTACAAAATTACAAAAAAAAATCTAATTTTTATCCAACTGGGGAGATGGATTTGATCCCCTGTTCAATTTATGCGATTAATCTTTCTGTTCATTAATCTTTCTTCTAGATTAGGAAATCGCAGCAATCAGCAAAGATTGCAGAACATATAACGGAAAACAAGACATCATCAGTCATGTCAGGCTTGTCTCTTCTCGCGGATTCTGTACGAACTCTTCTTCTCCCCGCTTGCTACTTCTTAATTTCAGTGCATAACCACGAGTTTTAGTTTGGAAAAATTTGGTTTGGTTATCTGTTTTTTTCGATGTTTGTAGGTTGTCCTTGCTTGGTGTATGTATGTATGGTTAAAAGAAGTTTCGTATAACGCTTACCAAATTGACATTTTTTCTTTCAGGTTTCAAAACTGCATCTGTCTTCGTCTCCGTCACAACCTGCAACGAAAGAATCTGTACCGGACTGGTCTCTTCTCCCTGAAGAGCTACTGCACATTATCTCAGAGATTCTGGAGGACTGTTTCGATGTTATTCATGCTCGTTCTGTTTGCCGCCCTTGGCGCTCCAACTTCCCCTTTCCTTCTTGGCTATTACGCACACGTTATTCTCTTCCCTCGTTTGCCAAGTTACCTCGCAAAAGCAAAGGCTTGTGCACACTCGAGAAGTTCCCTATGTTTCTCTTTAGAGTCCGAGCTCCTGCTGCTGCGTCGACTTATGAGTATTACTTAGGAGGAATAAACCAAGATAAGTCAGAGAACAATATGGAGCTTCCATCTCCTCCTATTCAGTGCACAGTGAAAGTGAAGATCGGAGATTCTGATCCAACCTTGATGAACATTCTCGACTGTCAGATTCTCCCTCTTGGCTATCAGTACAGAATGGTAGGTTGGGATCCTGAGTCATTGACAAGAAAATTCAGATGTGTGGCTTTTCTTCCGCTTAACAGAGAGGGAGGAGGAGAAGAATTTGTGGTGCTTCTCGGCTACTATCGTGATTAGTTTGTGTTAACAAGTGTTGAAATGAGGTGGATACGGCTTGAGAGAATCTCAACAGCTGTTTGCAGTGATATAGTCACTTTTAGAGGCAGGTTTTATGTAGACTTTCTTAACGGGGACACATTTGTTTTCGATCCTTACTGTCTAGAAGCGACTCCACTGATGCCCTCGGAGATTCCGAACTGTGGTTCAAGCAATTTTCTGGTTCCATGTGGTAATGATGAACTTTTCCTGGTTCAGAAAATCATCCCACGTAACACTGATGTATTGTATTTTAGTCGGTTAACATTGACCGTGAGTAGGCTTGATGAGGAACACTGATGTATTGTATTTTAGTCGGTTAACATTGACCGTGAGTAGGCTTGATGAGGAGGCTTGTGAATGGGTTGAGGTCAGTGATTTGGGAAACCGTGTGTTGTTTATTGGACAGCTGGGAAACGTCTCATGCTCGGGTAATGAGCTTCCTGATGGTTGTGGTCTGAGTGGGAACTCAGTTTTGACCACATATGGGCCAGGTAATGTAACTTACTCCTATAGATATGGAGTAGAAACAGGACGTGAAGAAGATGACCTTAACTGTTGGAGTCTTGGAGATACACAAGAGAGAATCCTGTGAAGATCCTCAGCCAATCTCCGGTGTTGGCTCTCCAAGTTGAGCGCTAACCTGTAAAATCTTAGTTTGGTTTATCTGTTAGTTTTGTGTTTTTTTTTCTAGATTAAGCTAAAAACTGTCCTTGTGATATTAGGTAAAAGATCTTGTGATTTGTGATGTTACAGTGATATGCTGAAAGTTTAGATCACTCAGTAATCTAGTTTTAATATGTAGCAGATGCATAAAGCCACCTTTCATGGCTACAAGCTTGAAAGATTGTATATTACTAGCTTTTTTTTTTTTGACACTGATTATATATTAGTAGCTATTGTATTCTCTCCTTTCAGATCAGTTTTTTTTTTCTTTTTCTTTTTATAGATAGTAGATTGTTTATCGGCACTGTTATGTAATCAATCTTCTCTATTCATGTTTGTTCACAGTTTCTAAAACCCTAGAAGCTTAATTTTTCTCGTTTAAAGTCTCAGTATAAACTGAAGCTAATTTTTTTTTTTTAAGGTTATGTTCTTTTTTTGGTCGTCACTGTAAAGGTTATGTTCAAACCGGATGATATCAAACCCTGAACCGGAATATAGATGGCGATGCTACTCAATCGTTTTCTCAGTCAATCGTTTTCTCATTCAATCGTTTCCTCATTCAATCGTTTCCTCATTCAACCGTTTTCCTATTTTCACGAAACGACGTCGTTGTCTACTGAATTCCCTTTAAATCATTTCTTCTCCGACAACTTCTCCATCTTGGTTTTGTCCTCAGCCTTTCAATTACGAAATGTATGTTTCTGAATTTTGAGATCGTCTCACCATTGAGATCGAAGCTTCAGAGTGGTATTGCAGAGTCTCAATCTCCGTCGGGATTCAACTTCGAACGCAAGCAATTACTTGAAATCGAAGGGTACAGTTCCTTATTTCCTTGGCCTTACAACAAATAAATTTCAGATTGTTCTTAGAGAATATCTTCTGGGTTTTAGATTAATTCTGCAAAAATGTCACGTTTGAGAGAAATCGTCTACAATCTTGTGTTTTCTGTGACTTTAGGGTTCTAAACTTCTGATTGAGGGTTGTGTTACATATTCTTTCTCTTCCTGTTATACCGATTTCTTTAATTGTAATTGATTTTAGGTTTTTGTACTTTTATTTTCTATATTCCTTTAGGAAAAGTTTTTATTGTAGTCTGCGTTGATGAAGTCGATTCATAAATGTTATGCTATAAATTTTGTTTAAGAAATTTCCTAAACCAAGCCTAATTTGTCTTTTCTGATTTCTTACAGCAGTCAGAAAAACATGGCAGAACGTTCAACAAAAAAGAAGACATCATCGATAACAGACTGGACTCAGCTCCCTAAAGAACTAATTCAGATTATCATCGAGAAATTTGATAACTGTTTCGATGTTGTTCATGTTCGCTCTGTTTGCAGCTTGTGGCGATCCACATTTCCTCTTCCTTCTTGCCTATTAAGCCCAAGTTACTCTCTTCCCACTTATCCTATCGAAAAGGAAGGCTTGTGCTCCCTCGAGAAGATCCCTGTGGTTCTCTTTAGAGTCCCAACTGCTGTTGAGTCGGTTTCTGAGTATTTCGTGGAAGGAATATTCCGAGATGAGTCTGGGGACTATATGGAGTTTTCATCTCCTCTTCAATGCACACTGAGAGTGAAGCTAGCAAGTTCTGATTCAACAGTGGAGCTAGCAGGATGTGATTCAACATTGAAGATATCAGGATCTGATTCAACATTGAAGAACATGCTCGACTGTCAGATCTTCTCTCTAGGTAATCAGTACAGAATCATTCGTTGGAGTCCTAAAGGAGTGAGAACAATTTACAAATACGTGGCTTTTCTTCCGCTAAACGAGGGAGGAGGAGGAGGAGGATTCGTTGTGCTCCGCCGATATTATAGAACTTTGTTGATGTTCAGAAGTGTTGAAAGGAGGTGGTTCCGGGTTATGGACACCCCAAATTATACATGCACGGGTTTAGTCGCATTTAGAGGCAGATTTTATACATCATTTTGGAACAGAGAAGTTTTCGTTATCGATCCTTATTTGCTAATATCGACTCGCCTAATGCCGGAGGAGCATCTGAACGGGAGCAAAGATCTGATTGCATCCGACAATGATGAACTTTTCCTTGTTGAGAGAATCACTCTCACTCATGCTGGTGGGTCAACATTAAGAGTGAGTAGGCTAGATGAGGAGGCTGGTAAATGGGTCGAGACCACTGATTTGGGAGACCGTGTGTTGTTTGTTGGATACGGTGCAAATGTTTCATGCTCGGCCAAGCAGCTTCCTGATGGTTGTGGTGTGACCGGGAACTCAATTCTGTTCAACGACCGGTCAGAGGATGTAACCTTCTTCTATAAGTATGGGCTATCAGAAGGTGTGGCAGGAGGCAGTGATTGGAGAATCTCAAGAGAGAGTTCTGTGAAGTTCCTCAAATCTCCGACTTGGGCTTTCCGTGTTGAGTGTTGAAACAGCAGTCTAAGACTTGAGACATGTGTTGCTTTTGTTTTTGTTAGATCGAAACAAACTTATCATATGGTTGTAGGTATAGGTCGTGTGCCTTTAATGACATTTTGATGCTTATGATTCTAGACTTGTGTCTCCACCACTAGCCATGTTACACAACCGTGGATTATGGAAATTGTTGTCTCATGAATTTTCCAAGCCGTGTCTGGCTGTGTTCTTAGTATCATGCAGTTCATGTGTTTGACCAAAACTCTACATACATACTCGGACAGAGACCTTTTTATCTGTAGTGTTTCGAGCCACCTTGATGGCTACAAGCTTGAAAGATTTGTACATTGCAGGATATTTTTCACTGAACACATCAGGCATTTTCGTAGTCTCAAACTGATATTTGAATATGGATCTGGAAGTAGAAAGAACTAGCTTAATTATTACCAGTTGGATTTAATCTTGTCTTTTTTAGGGAAGATTCAAAGGAAGAAGAAAGTGATGAAGAATCCTAAAAGAGAAACAGAGTGTTCTTGTTTTGTGGTTAATGTCCACGACTGTACTTAAATTTTGTTCTCGGGAATAAATACAAATATTTTTGGATATCTAGAAAGCATTAAATATTGGGAAAACGAAGAAACTCTGCAATAAACAGGATCCATATAAAGATTACTTATTTGGATTTAACCAACCAAAAAGAAGAAGCTCTACAATTAAAAGGACAATGAAGCATCGCCTTCAAGCTGGTTAATTACAATCTTTCTTCCAGTAGATTTAGAGCTTCTGAAGCTTCTGAGGATGGTGAATAAACATTTTTACAAGCATCTTCTTCCTGGCTTCCATAGCTACTTGGTATTCTCTCTTTGTCTCTCTCTCTTTCTCTCTCCCTTTTTCTATATCTGTGTGAGAAGCTAATTGAGAGATGGGTTTTGTTTTGCATTTGCATGTTTGCTTCAGAAAATTCCTGTAGCTTTCTTCTTGAAGTATATAGGGCGAAGGCGCGAAGCTGAGATCAGACGCGTCGGACATAACATGGGAAGTGAAGCTAGAAGATGGCCAGAAACTCACTGATGGTTGGAAAGAGTTCGCTCTTGCACACGATCTTCGAGTCGGTGACATTGCCATCTTCAGACAAGAGAAAGACATGGCTTTCCATGTCAAACACTCACACTCATGGGACCCAGTTGCTGTGAGATTCAGTATGAGTCTTGTTTAGACGACGAGAACAACCTTGATGATCTGTCTTCTGTCTCTCTCTCTAACTCTGCCCGTGACTCTGAATCTGAGACTGATAGTTAAGAAATATGCTAAGTAACAAAGTTTAGTATAAGAGGTTTTCTTTTGTTCAAATTAGGAGTTAGTACTATTGTCTTGACGTAGGTTCGCAGGCGAGACTTTAGCCACAAAATAAGAGGCATCAAGTGAAGAGGACTCTGCTTCTCTTTCTTGATTCTTCTTCACTTTCTTTTTCATCTGAATCTCCTCTGAAAATTAAGAAAATCAATCCAAGTGGTAATAGTCAAACAAAATCTCCCTACTTACTGATCCATATTCCAAAATAAGCCAAAGTTACAGTTTAAACATTGTTGCTTGAGCACATTTCTTAAATGTCTGAGAGTCAAGAGTTCGAGAAAGAGAGAGAGACAGAACACAACTCACCGAGATTGCCCTCGTCGTCATCGCTTTCCGGTTCTGTATTGCGAAACTAAAGGCCCCTTGATTCATGTGAGCTTCCTCACTAATCACTACTGTTCAGTTATCGTGGAGAGATTTGTGGTGTATATACTATTTTACCTAGTTCTCACGTGCAGGAAGAAAAATGATGTGTTTTTTTTTTGTTTTTTTTTAAATTCTTAAATTGGTTAAAATACATTTTCTCCTTTCATCTATATATTTACTTTCAAGCTCATAACAAATATTGATTCACATTAAGAGTTATAGTTTACAAAACCATAGACTTTTTCTCCCGAGTATGACATGTTTTAAATGTTTTAGATCAAAAATATATTTCTAAGAAAATGAGTATACAATGTGAGTTAAAAGCTATCATTCTATAGAACACCATCATACAAAACGTATTCTCAATAAATTTATCAAATACCATCATATAATCAAATATAAAACACAGTTATATAAAATAAACTTTCATTTATAAATTGAATACCAATATTATTTGAAGCACCATCAGAACATATACTGAAATATTAGTTCATTATATACCTGTCTCCATACTTGGTTTTATTATCTATCTATAAAACACTATCTTCTTTTCTCTCTTTGGTTCTGAATGATGCACATATCTACACGATATATTGCGTTTAGTTCTATTCCATGGCGATTTTTCTAAATGATATATATATATATATATATTATATATGTTTTTTGAAGTTTATTTGAAATGTTCTATATAGAACCAATATAGAAACAAAAAAAGATAAAACACTCTCATATGTTTGTAAATAATGCATCAACTCTTCGTTTCGGCAGCCACGTGCCTATAAGGGCTAAAGCACTAAGCACCGTTTTTTTATTATTATTAGATGAATACCCGTGTATACACACGGGTTTTCTTTCAATTAATAATTTTAATTTAATTTTTTAGAAATTTATGTTGTGATTATCTAAATTCAGTGTTTTATTTGATATGTGCATAACATTTTTACAGAATAAAAAAGTTAACATGCTAATTCTAAAATTGAGAGAACTAATTATATGAATTCATTATTGTTGATAAAATTTCAATTGTAGTTGTCGACATGTGGTAATCTTTAAACAATTTCTATTTTTCTACTGAGTCGACTCTCTTAAAAATTTATCTATATATTCCATTTGAATTAAACCACTGACCACTATAATTGTTCTTCCAAAGAACTATTTTGGTCAACGTGCACTCTATTAGTAGGTTCCATGATCCTCTCATTCCACATAGCTAGTGTGTTCTTGGCTTCTTCAACTTTCTTATACAACTCGTCTCTCTTTAACTCTTTCTCCATTTCCCTTATCTGTGATTTACTCAGAGATTTCTTCTCAAATTTATAAACCTCCAATTCCAGTTTTTCTTTCATTTCCCTCACTTCCAAAACCACACATTTTCTTTCTAAATTCCTAACTCTCTTCTCAATCTCAGCTCTCGCTTTCCTCAACCTCTCTCCTTCCTCATAGCTTTCAAACCTCTAACCTTTCTTTGTTAACCCTTTTTGGATCATTGTACATTCAGTTCATGGTGTTGTTAAATTTCAATTATAAAGGCTTTAGTCTCCCAAAATATCAACCAGAAATTCAAAAGAGTAATTGAAGTGTTGCCTGTATGAAGTTGGTATAAACTGGGGTATGATAAATTTACATGAAAATGAATCAGTTCAGAAAAGTTGATGAGCTTAAAAGAGATTTTTATAACTTGACATGCTTCGAGATATTTAAAAAAACCAGCATTTCTCCATTCTAACGTCATCTTTGTTCCCTAAATCAATGCTGTTCTTATCTCAGTGTCATAGTTGCCAGTGATCAGATCTTTTAATCTAGTCCCACTACATCATCAACAGAAGCATAAGAAATAAAGACTTATACACCTGAGGCTGCAGATTCAAAAAGATCAAAAAAGTGAAACTATGATCATTAACGATGAATCAGAAGAGAAAGTAAAACTTCATTTACATGAAACTTCAAAGCTTTTTCTTGTTTTGAGCTGTGGACATTTCTTTTGTTTTTACCAAAGATATGTGAAAACCCAACAAATAGATTGTAAAAAAAATTTCTCCTGCGACATTTCTCTTTTTGCGCTTCAAGTCGGGTTATGTACTCCACTTTTGATGCTAGTAATTAGTTTCTGCAAAATTAATACGACATAGAGAGTTGAGGTTGAATTAATCTGATTAATAATTTGAGTTATTTGACCATTAATTAATGAATAAAAATTTGAGTGTTTTTTTTTCAAGCTGATGTGTCAAAATAATAGGAGCTGATGTGTCAAGTTTGTGAGACACAATCCACTCTTTATATAATAGATTATCGTGCTATATTGCTAATTTTAAGTCCAAATTAAATTGCCAGAGGCCTAATTAACCTGTTTTCTATTTATGTATTTGCATTTATAAAATTGGATTTACTAAAGATTTTTGATCAATTTTTATTTGATGAGTTCATTATATTTGGATAAATTTAATCTGAAGTGTATTAAATAAAATATTTTGATTGGTATAAGTTGTCAATACCACAATTAGTAGCGGATCTAGAAAAAACAATAGTTAGGGGCATAAGTTATTAGTTGCGGGCAATTTTTTTTATTTTATTACTAAATTAAATTTATTTTAACTAAATTTGTTTAAATATTTTAAAAAATAAAAGAGTGTAGGGGGCACTTAACCCTACTCATTCACTAGATCCGCCCCTAACTACAATCAATGAAAAAACTGAGGTGTCAAGCTATGGAAAGCACTTGTTTTTTTTATTGTATTGATTTCTGATTTTATTACACTTGAGAAACTATTTACATACATAAAAAAGAAACAAAAAAGTGTCTAAAGTCTAAACAACATCAAAGACAGTTTAAACATATCCAGTTAAAGACAGAAATATATTACCGGTTAGAGTCCCGGAACCACATAGTCAATGCTTTAATGGCCCATGTATTTCCCTCTTCTATTTTTCTTTCCTCTTTCCTTTATATCCCTCCTATATAAAAAGATTTAGATTTAGCTCACCAAACTTGAAGTGGTAAAAATATATATCCCGTAGTGAACAATATATCTCTCCAAAATATGCTATGAACATTATTCTATATTCGCATCGTCTTCGGCATCCACTACAGATGGGTCGAGTGAGAGCATTGTTCTGAACAACATTGAATTCCTCTTTTCCTAGCTTGATTCTTGAACCAGGATTCATAAATATATCCGCCCCAAGTAAACAATCAATATGAAGTGTGACTTCACATTCATTGTATCTATAGAATCCGGTGCTTGGACCTATTGTTCCCTCACAAAGATCGCACCAGTAGATTCCATTTGAAAGTTTTTCATATAAAAGTGTGAGTAAATGCTCATCATTCTTGTATCTCACCTTATGGGGAAGAGTTGCGCATCCAAAACACAAAACAAATCCGCATTTATCACAGTTTAAAGTTGCTCGTGCCTTTCCGTCACAAATCGAACATCTATCCCGATAATTTTCGTTAGATGTTATCAACAAGGGATGCATATGAGAATGATGAACGTATGGATCGGATATAGAAGCACATCGTACGTCAAAACTCAAAAATTTGCAGCCATTGTAACACACATATTTGAAGCCGAAGGAGTCACGGGGACAGAGGTCACACCAACGCTTGGTGTGGGTAAAAGATGGTTCTAGAGTAAGTGGATGGAAATGTAATGCATGGTGTATCACACATGGAAGATATGCACATGCTTCATGGAGAATATAATCACAATCCATGCGTATGCATGTATACGCTTTACCATTATATAGAGGAAGTATGCACGCTTGACAATACCTTTTTCCATCGTCCCATATTTTGGCATCTTCTTCAAGTCGCATGGCATGTTTTGGATGACTAAAATGAACTATAGTCCCATCGGTCATCTCCTCAAACGGCGGCTTGATACTTTCGTTTACTTCTTCTGGTTCTTCTTCAAGTTCCTTTCGATCCCACAAAGTTGGTCTCGTTGCACATTTAGAATGCACTGCATAAATGCAATCCTTCATCTTGCAAGAATATGCCCCATAAGTTTCATCAATCTTTTGGCGACAAACTCCACAAGACCATTCTTGTGATGGGAGAGAATAAACAAAAGAAACTCGGTGTTTGTGACGAGATATTTTTATGACGTATGGTAAATATATGCAATGTCTATGAACAATGAAATCACAATGAAGACATACGAAGATGAAAGACTTGTTATCATCTAAGCCACACACATCACATCTCAAGATGGATTTTCTTGGAAAGAAGTATAGGGTATGCTGGTGCCTTTTGTGATTTGTAATGAGTGGGGGTTTCCTCACACAAACCGGATCCAAATTAAAATTACAAATAGATCAATGGTAAACCAAGCCAGTACGGTATGAGCTACAGGAATGGCATTCCAGCCATTCAACCCTGCTGTTATTATCAAAGATGTAAAGCTGGAGAGAATGTTTAGGATGATAAGGAGATTTGAACGTAGGGGGAGACTCGACACATTCTTTGTGGTACCATCTGTCACAATCATTACAAAAGTAATAGGTTGTGCCGATAGTATTATGCCAACAAGCCCCACAATTTTCCTCTATTATTTCGTCATCAATAGATAGTATGAGTGTTTCTTTATTGTTGCACCAGAAAAGAGGGAGAAGATGGTGAGAATGTGAAAATTCGTCATCTTCGTCATTAGAAAAATAATAAGACTTATCCACTGTGCGATAATATGCCTCACCAATTTTCTTTTTGAGATCCGCTATTTCTGTACATCGGTCGTTTGGCAGGGCATACGAGACGGGAAGAAAGAGGGTGGTCGATGGAATCCATGGACGCTATGTGCTCCAAAGATATTTAAATGGTTAGAGATTTTGAGAGATTCAGTTTAGATGTTATGATTGCAAATGGGTAAATGACTAGGGTAAGGTATATATATACACACCCACGGGTACTTTTGACATAAAAAATCATCCCACGCCAAGTATTTGCCATACTCAATCTATTTACAATTCAACCTTCTCACGCAAAGTATTAATTAATACTATGTTTTCTTCTATATTTCTTTTTCTCACATATTAA